TGAGTGTGTAAGTGAACTCTTCTCAAGACCATAATTTGTCCTACAGGGGGCAAACGTGTGCCATGGCTAACAGTACGGGGGTGGGACAGCAGATTGTCCAGGCTACGCAAGCAGATGAAGAGTGGGCAGTCACAGGCATGGACTGTGTGTTGTGAAGCCTTCACTTGACCCCCCCCCCCCCCCCGCTGCCTCAGCACCACAGCCTGAGCAATTCAGCTGGCACAGAGGGAAGCAATCTGCTACTGGTACTGGAGCAAGTGGGGAACCATTACCTGAATTGTTACTCGGAGTCACAATTCCTTCCCATGTCTGTTGTAGGGTCAGCACAGCTACCTGCCGCTACCTCTTACTCAGAGCAGATGGTCGGATCACAGTCGAGCCCAGGGAGGCTCCCAGAGAGGCTTACTGAACAAAATAAATAAACCTGACACATTTAAATATAACATGCCAGGTCCTCTGCCTGTGCAAATAGACATTGCTCCATTGGCATCAGTGGCTGTATGCCAATTAATTGACCCCAGCCGAGGATTTGGCCCCCTACATTTAGAAAATATTCATCTGCCTAAAAGTGATTCCAAAACAAAAGAGTGTAAACAAGGTTGTTGTATAATAAGAAACTGCAGTGCAAACTGAAGAAGTCATAAAGATACAAATATTGAGAACAGGTTCCATTGTCTGTGGCTATTGCAGGGGATTATTAGAAAGTAGAGACACAAGAAAAAAAAATCTGCTTTTGTCTAGAGTGTCTATATTTCCACATTAAAATCCTTTCCATCCATCTCTTCCCTTCGTCTCCTCTCCTGATACTCTCTCCTTTGCTTCGTTCTACTTTCCTTCTGCCATGGCAATGGCATGAGCAGGAGCAGCTTTCAGAAGAGAAGCCACCACAGGTTCTGCTCCTCTAGCTGAGCAGCAGGAGCTGCTGCGTCTTTGAAGCCCACTGAGGATGCTGCTGCTAAGGGTGGGGGCATGAAAGCAGAAGGAGACAGTGCCGAGGAAGACAGAGAAAGAGTGGAAGGGTAGAGAATAAAAGAGGAGCAGAGAAAGGAGAAGAAGGGGAGGTAGAGGATGAAACTATCCCTCCCAGATTAGGGCCAAAACCAGCAATCATTTACTGGGCATAGTGCTCAAGGGCCTGATCCTGTAATCTCTCTTTGGATCAGACCCCGAAGCACTGCCCCAGCAGTAAGTGCTTTCAGGAGTACCAAGCCCTCAGGCATTTACTAGTCGCATTCCTCTGGTGCTTTGTGATTTACAGCACCTCTGTTATCACTCCGACAAACCAATGTTCCTGCCACCTTCTAGGAACTTAATCCAAATCAGAATCAATATATTTTCATTTCCAGGAAACCTATAACTACAAATCCCTTTGGCCCTTTTTCCTGATACTAGAATCCCTGATACTAGAAACCCTATATTAGCTGGGTAATTTTTTTTAAAAAAAGAATAATAAATCTGACTGTAAGATTATCACAAACAGCTGGATAGTATGACTGTCACATTTCACAAGCGTGTTTGGTTCACATTCAATGTGTATTTACTAATAACTTTCTGATGAATAATGTTAATTAGTGATGCAAGGTCTGTTTTCATTTTATTCAGTAGTGCACAACATATTTTATTTTATAGAAACTAAAACTCATAATTCAACCATCAATTTTGTTTCAGATGGGGAAGTGCAGGTTCAGGTATTCTGCGAGCTCTGGTTTAAAGCTTGATGTCTCTAAAAGGACTGGAAATCATAAACACAGTAACTTGTGAATTTTATGTTTGAGAAAATTAGCACATCCTTGCATTACTTAGCAGGCAAACATTGAACAGTGCTTGATCAATAACAGGCATTGCCAGAGGTCTGATATAGTCTGCAACAGCTAACAGTAAGTGTTGCTGTAGGCTATGGAACTAGGAATATAAAATGTTGAATGACAGTAATAATTCATGCAACTTGGGACACAGAAAACCAACAGTATGTCAATAGCTATAGCATGCACTGCAGAAAATGTGGAGCATTTTGATGCTTCAGGAGCTTGTGTTTTACTTTAAAACATACTTTTCTTGGTGAAATATATACTTTCCCTAGTCATTAAAAGCATTTATTTTTCAGTTGCATGTTGCTACTTCTCCATTAAGATTCTAAAAGATGTGCAACTCACAAATGGGCTCAGAGACTCAGAGATTCAAAAGGCAAAATATATATATTTATTGAAGCAAATCACATAAAATTTATAAGACAGGAGGTGCAGAGGATCAGGCTGGCCAAAGCTAATTGAAAATATCTGGGAGTCATGTAGCATTTCAACATTCAGTATAGTTATTCTGGTAACGTATATGGTCCTCTTATTAACTTGAATGGGAGCAAGACCTTGCTATATAGCAGGGATTCTCAACCTTGTTCTTTCTGAGGCCCCCCAACAAGCTATAAAAACTCCACAGTCTACCTGTGCCACAACAACTGGTTTTCTGCATATAAAAGCCAGGACCAGCGTTAGAAGGTAGCAAGCAGGGCAATTCCCTGGGGCGCCATGCCACAGGCCCCTCCACAAAGCTCCATTACTCAGACTTCAGCTTCAGCCCTAGGTGGTGGGGCTCAGGGCCCTGGGCTTCAGACCCAAGCAGTGGGGTATCAGCTTTCTGCCCTAGGCCCCAACAAGTCTAATGCTGGCCCTGCTTGGCAGACTCCTGAAACCTACTCGCAGCGTTCCAAGGGTCCCTGGATCCCTGGTTGAGAACCACTGCTATATAGGATACCCGTGAGATATCTGGCACCTTCTTAAAAACAAAACTCACTAAATTCACATTTTATTTTGTTTGAAAAGAAAATAATGTTTTGTGTCAAGTGAGCACATCACACATGTTTATTCCTTTGTAAAATACATTCTGCATAATTAATATTTCTCCTGTTGTCCATTGTAAAAAGATGACACAGCAGGTAAATTGTTACATCTGGCTGAAGGAAGAAAGAATGAGTCTCTCTGATGTGTTTTCCCCTCTGCGCTTCCATTTTATTGCTACTTTAGGAACGAAAAAGTGACTAGTGCTACTTTACTGAATAAGGCTCCCAGAAAAATTCCTCAGATGAATGTTTAATGAGAAAAAAAAAGAGATGTTCAAACAGGTCCATTCTTATGCATGCAGCTATGTGTTCTAAAACACCGCATCAACATCCTCAACTTCTCTGAATTTGTTGACAGTGACATCTGACTGGATAGGCAGATGAATTACATAACATTCATGATTTTTAAAATATGAATGTGGCCCTTAAAAATACAGGTAATACTTCTTTAAAAAATGTAAAATACTACCTAAAAAGAAAAGGAGTACTTGTGACACCTTAGAGACTAACAAATTTATTTGAGCATAAGCTTTCGTGAGCTACAGCTCACTTCATCGGATGCTGCTACTGTGAAACCAAAAAAGGAAACACACCACAAAGAAACCCACCATCCATTATTTAAATCTTCCCCTGTGAGAGACTGAAGACTGGAATGCATGCTGAATCCTCTCTTCTTCAACATGAAATGGATCCTTCCATTGCAGGGCTTAAGGTCTTGACTCCCAACCATGCACTCTGGGATTTTTTTTTAAGGATGCATATTCAAATAATAATTAGAATTGCTTAAATATCATTTCTATTTTTACAAGACCATAACGTGACTTTTATATGCACGGTACAGCACCTACTAAACCAGATATTTCAGTTACAGTGAGACAGATATGATAAAAGAACAAAAAATTAAGCCTGCTGACTCTTTGAGATATATTAAAAGAAATCTCTCAGTTTTGCACAGAATGTCTTTGCTCATTTGGTCTTTCAGCTTCGTTTAGGGAGAATACATTTTACAGTTTCCCCATTGATATTCAGCAAATCTACAGCTTTCACTGCTGATCCTGCTTATCTTTGAATTAAAAATGTCTATAGTATTTACACAGTGCTGAAAAATTACTATTTCAATTTATTGTATTTTCATTGTCTCTCTCCTTGTGACTGGTACAGCTTGCCTGCAATTGAGAGGGCATTTTGAGGCTTACTTTGATGCCATGATTTATTGTATTGCACAATGGAGCCTACTGATATCCTTTCTAATCAGAGATGGCACGTTGGGTAAAAAATAAAGCTTTTTATGCCTTTCTTTAATGATCACTATCTCATGTGCTTTGTATTTGTTGCGGCTGGTTGGATGGTGAAAAACAGCATTCATAATATCTATTTGAATTCCAAACTGTTGTTCATTTCCACTGTGGTTTTGCTCTTTTGTTCTTCCTTATTCACAAATATTCACATGCATGTTAGTGGAGTGGCTGTTCTTTGTATGGATACCAGCATTCATAAATGAACAAGGGGATACCTGCTCAGTCGAGAGTATGCATCACTATTCACTCTGCATTAATCATTATTCCCTGGCTTAAAAAGTTTGTCATCCATTCAGGCAGCAGAAGCAAAATCATGTGATTTAGGAGACACTCACACACCATGAATAGCAAATAGAAATAGAGGACTCACCCTGCCAGGGAGGATGGGAGGATTCAGGAAGTAGCACAGAGGTTTAGTCCTCTGTGTGAATGCCCCAGCCCAGTGTTTATGCCCTGAACTATGTGATTTCACCATGGATCTTGGGACATTTGTGGGGTTGGAGACCACACTCCCTGTATCTATTCCACAGAAAGGCAAATCTCACTTCATGCCACAATCTCACTGATCATTGCTTGGAAACTTCATGAAAAGATATGTGCAGAATATTAATAATATTAACTAACATTTATATATACACCTCTTTTCATCCAGAGATCTCAAAGTCCTTTCCAAAGGTGGGCATTTTAATCCCCATTGTAACAGAGGCACTCAGAGGTTAAATGACTTCCTAGGGTTGACACAGCAAGTCAGCTGCAGAGCAAGAGATAGAACTCACATCTCCTGACTTTCAGACAAATGCTGTATTGACCAGACCACACTGCATCTGATTTAGGAATTCCTGTAACTTCTCCATGGGTTGTTCTATGGGTTTTTTTCTTGCTGTGGTCTCCAGTGACATTGTTCCCATCGAAAAACTGTTCCTTCATTACTTCTCTCAGCATATTGCTAGGAACAGTGGAGAAAGGTGAAATGTATTATTCATCTCTCCAACTCCTAAAATCAATACCCATCAAAATACAAATACAATTCAAATCAGAGGGCACTTATTGAGCACAGATCCTCATAATTAGATATGATTTCTCAACAATGTCTTAAATTATTTATCCAAGAGATGGATACCAGGCACTCTATAGGCCCCAGAGTGAATATTATAAGCCTCATGTCATGATGCAGCAAAAGTGAAATGCTATTCACTGCAACATGATTTGTAATCTTGATTAACTAATGCAACATCGATTCACATCAATCAGTGCCAAAATTCTGTGTCATTATAACATCTAACGAGATATGTTGAAAGCCAATAACCTCATGAAATGGATGGGTGTCAATGAAGGATAAAAATTGTGCTCTTAGAAATCAGTTAAGAATGCACTACCCACCTCTGATAGAAGTCACTAAACCAGCACCATTAGAATTGAGGTTTACGTCATGCATGGACATTCATCATGAGAGCAGCTCCCCCTAGGTTGGCTGTGGTCTCCGTAAGCAATTCCATTATAAGTTTTTAAGTCTCATTTCTTATGGAGGTTATTTCTTAGCCAGCTACTCAGCCCCCAAACCATTTCACCTCCAAATCTCTTTTATTTACATTTGGCCTTTTTAAAAAATCTAGGCAAGAGAACCAAAGGGGTTTTGAGGTTTTGGAGCCTTTTGGTGGTGTTAGAATGTGGAAGAGCTTGCCTATAAAATAAAACATTTATAACTGCCAGTCTATAATGTAGAGTAATGTCTTTCAATATTTAATAAGAAGGATTTATCATATGCAATTTTCCTTGAAAATATAGTACTCAATGTTAACTTAAAAGTGCAAACATTTGCCACAATAGACCTTAGTGATGTATCATGCCAACAATCCAGGGGTTAAGGATCCCTGCTGCCCGTATATTGATATGACACATAGACATCAATTTCTCTAATCTCAGTGATCAAAGATTCAAAAGAATAGTCTCAACTATTGTTTTATGTATAAATGTTCGTTTTTTGTAAACTATCCAATTTTTAATAAATACCTTACTTGAAATTTGAAAATGTCATGATTTTATCTTTTTTTTTTTTTACTTTGTCTTCATCAGCTGATAACAATCAAAAGTTGTATCCAATTCAGGGCCTAAAAAACCTGATATGGTCCTTTTAGGTACAGTAAAAGTGAACACTGAAGTACTGATCTATATCACTAGATCAGTGTTTCCCAAACTTGGGACGCCGCTTGTTCAGGGAAAGCCCCTGGCGGGCCGGCTGTGCCACTTCCCGCAGCCCCCATTGGCCTGCAGCGGCGACCCGTGGCCAGTGGGAGCCGCGATTGGATGAAACCTGTGGACGTGGCAGGTAAACAAACCGGCGCGGCCCACCAGGGGCTTTCCCTGCACAAGCGGCGGAACAAGTTTGGGAAACACTGCACTAGATAATGGATTCCTGAAAGATCTGTGAAATTTTCAGCCTTAATGTTGTGGTTCCTAGATATAAACTTACAAAATAAATTTTAATGGACTGCATCCATTCCACACACAACTCAATAACAATTCTGCATGGAGCAGCTATAACATCAGACCCAATAGTATGTAAGAGATTGACTTAAAGCCATTTGAGAAATTCAGAGCTAAGGTTTCTCAGATAGTGCCTCATCCTGTAGTCTTGATGGTGGTCAGACTCCCAGTGAAGCCAATTTGAGTTTGGTCTGAGTCAGTCCTGCAGGAATAGGCTCTTTAATTTTATCATGTCAAAGTGTCTGCATATTTCAGTTGTTAAGATCCTGTCTGTGATTTTACTTACTATTCTTCTGGAAGTATGGAGGTAGAAATGTATGAACTGAGGATGCAAGGAGTAGCCTTAACTCTGAATTTCATGGCATTTTAAATTTCAAGTCAGAATTTTAATGGTATTTTAACCTACTTTATTAGTAAGTAAGAATAGTGGCTGTTAAACTGTGGACCACAGTATCCTACTAGGTGGTCTGTAGGATGGAACATTTTGAGAACCAAGCAGTGGGGGATTGGGTGAAACCAGTGTAGAGATAGTCCATAAGCAGATCCCTACATATTGGAGTGGTCAGTGAAATGAAAAAGTTTGGAGAAGTAATGAGTTTAAAAAGTATGTACAATTAGGGACAGCATGGAAAGTCAGATTGATATCTTAGTTATTTATGATTAACTAATAAATTATTCATCAATTCCTATTATATTATTACTGTTATATAGTACCAATTATGTATTAGGTGTTTGTCAGGCATGTATGAAGACAAGGTCCCTGCCCCAAGTGTTTACTGTCTAAAGTCTACTCCTGTATATCACACTAACCCCTTGTCTACATTGCACTGCAATTCAGACTACAGGGCAGGGACAGAGAATAGCAGTGTGCACCAGTGTGCTGTGCTGTAACTCCCCCCATGTGGATGCTGCTGGCACAAACCAAAAGATTCCTAGTTCTCATCAGTGTGGTCTTGTTTGAAGAGGTCTACATTAATGCAAACTAGGAATCTTTTAGTTTTGGTGCACATGTCTGTTCATACTCCCATAGTCTGAACTGTGGGGCAGCATAGACAAGCTCTAGTATGCCTTCCTTGAATGAGACAACTTTAATCCCTTCTACATTTTCCTCATCTCCATTTTGTTATTTTAAATCAACCATAAATAGTTTTAAAGAAAAATCAAACATTATAACCATGTTTTGTTTTACTTCTGTGTTATTGTTCTGCTTGATTTTTTTAAACGTTTTGAAAAATGTATAATAATATATTACTTAGTGCACAGACTGCCTAAATAAACATTTTGGACCAATTTTTCAAATGGAGGGAGACTATGTGCAAATAGCTTTGTGCAAACATGCAACTGCTTTTGTGAGTTCAAATTGCATAGGTAATGGCTTAAGTGATCAAGCACATACCCGGCTCCTTGATTTGCGCACACAACAGTGATAATTGCATTCTCTAATGTGAGTACCATTGCACTAATATTTTTGGTACACACAAACGGACCTCCACCCTATCAATTTAGCCCTATCTGTGTGTTTAGAGTACACTATAGAGCAGCATTCTTCCAAACTGCTGGCTTACTCACAGCAGATTTACCATTCACTACAGAATTGTGTAACATTTTATATGTCAAAACCTCCCTTAGAGATAAGCGTGAGATTTTTTGTAATCCTAACTAATATATCTTTTCATCCAGACACTACTAACTGCTTAAATTATAGTTGATGTAACAGAACTAAAGCAAAAATACTAGTTTATAGCTGCAGGATGGACTCAGAGGTTAAAAGTGAGTATTTAATCTCTATTGCTGTTTAGCATTCTCACCACTTGACCATCTGTGACAGGGTGTATAAACCCCTCACTGGACAGGAGGGGGTTAAGGAACAGCTGTGGACCAAGGAGGCCCCTCCCCTCCACTCTTGCTGAGTGCGTTTGGGTTGGAGGTGGGGTTTAAAAGCCAGTGAGGCAGCTCAGTCTAGGCTGGGCAAACCAGGGAAAAGGATGTACCCTGGGAGCTCCTTGGGGAGGAATGGAGATGAGCCTGCATTGAGCCAGTGAGCAGGGGAGCCACAGCACCCAACAACTGGGACAAGGACTGAAAATCCAGAAGGTGACCTTTCTCAGAGAAGGGCCGTGACTGGATGGGATACGGCTTAAAGTAGGAAGTAGCCCAGGGAAGCTGACTGGTGGCTGACACCATTCAGAGACAGGTAAGCAGCGGAACCAGACTCATAGGGCCTGGATGGGAACTCAGTGGAGTGGGAGGGCCAGGGTTTCCCTACCCTCCCACCACCTGAACTGCAGCCACTAGGTGGGACTATTGCTCCCTGAACTGCAGCCATGAGGCAGGAGCCCCTGCAACCTCCAACTCCCCCGATCACACCATCCTTGCTAAATCCATTAACTATTAAAGTCTGGAAGCAAACATTAGTGGCCAAGAACATCATACTGATTGTCTCCAGGGAACATGTTCTCCAAGATTCCATGCTCGTAAAAGATAGAGTCCAGGTCCCATATGTTCCTTTTGATAGCATAAGAAAATATGCCCACATACTTCACAGGAGCACTCAAAAAATGCCTTACCTTTTAGCTGAATACATTAGTCTTTCAGAAACAGAGATTAAATTGATTGTGCATCAATACTCATAATGAGAGGCTAAACTGCCACTGTGGCCTGAACCAGTTTTATACACCATGTGCAGATTATGACAAAAATATTATCATTATGACATTTTTTTGTGCTGCATTTGGAGTAGGTGGTGTTGATACCTGTGAAGAGAAAAGAACACAGCACACCTGGAATGCAGTTGTTCCATCTCATCTTGCTGCCTTTCTCAGGTCACAGCTAACAGTTGGCATATAATATTCCGGACCAAATATCACAAACAACTATCAGATGTGTCAATATAGTTTCAGTCGATAACATGTATGTTACGTGCCCACATCACAGGCTTATCAAGACATACAGGTACCATCCCATGTCTTGGTGGGCTGCAGGTGTGTCTTTGTTCTGAGGCCTAGTAATCCTAATCAAACTTCCATGTAGGAAATGCACCATAGCAGGATTACAGGGAGCTTCTGGGTCTCATTTTAAGGAGACTAATTATATATAAGTAATCTTTTTCAGGTGTGGACAATCACTTTTCTATATGCATTTCTATGAATTGATTTCCAGAGGCATTTGGAGTGACTCTAACCAATAGTGTGGCTCAGAAGACTATATAATATTTATTTTTAACACTGACTGGCTAGAGGATGTGTTTATTGTGAAGCTCATTCTTCTGTGTGTTCATGAGGAAGCTCAGCAAAAGACTTGTACACTGTCATGCAAATATTCCTATTGTTTGTTTTATGTGATGTGTATGGAGTGAGATGTGTTCCTATGCTACTGTGTATGTGTTACTTGTCTCATGAGAGGTATAGTAGGCTTTGCCCTAATCTTGCCATTTCCACTTTTGTTCCAATAAAGCTGACTGATTACATTGTTACTGTGTGCACTGTTTTCTAGTATTGCACGTAAACTGCCAGTGCCAATGATCTGCATTTGGTAATAACACCTAGCTCACACATAGCAATTTTTATCACTAGATCTCAAAGTGCCTTACAAATGAGGTCAGTATCTTATCCCAGTTTTACAGATGGGGAAACTGGGGCACAGAGCAGTGACTTGACTCTCCCAATGTCACCCAGGAAAACGGTAGTAGAGCTGAGAATAGAACCCAGGCTTTTTTGAGTCCACATGTGATGTTCTATCCACCAGCCCTGCCCTCTGAGATTTGCCTGTTTGGTGCACATGCTTAGGCTGGACCTTCCAATTAATGACATAATCCACTATCACTTTATTTTCAAGTTTGATATTTAACCCCTCCTTCCCCCACACCCACCAGCACTATGGAGTCTGCTTGTGCCAGACAGGATGGTAACTTTTGTACACTTAGGTGGTAGTGAGGGGTTTGCCAGCTAGCAGCCACAATAGCTGTGAATTACCCTGTGTATAGGGTAAGCTATTTGCTGAACACTGACCATGTTCTGGGAATAGTGCAGATATAGAACATCTTCCCACAGCCTAGTGTACAAAAGCCAGGGCTACACAGAGGCTGAAAAGGATTCAAAATAACTTCTGCGGCTGTGGTTGTGCAGTGACTTGCTGACTCCTGAGTAATCGACACATAAATTTCCTAGTGAGATGATAGAGCCCACAGGTTGGGCCACTCAATCCCATTAATAAATCTGGTCCCAAATGTCTAGTGTGCTACTGGGCCTGGCATGCTCCTTCAAATGCCATAATGTCACTACATAGTAATGAGGATGTTAATTTTTAAATGAACAAAGCACCAATACTATGTGCTAATTGTTCAATTTTTGGCATTAGAATGTATGTAGACTGTGAGATTGCTATGAGTTTTTGGTTTGGTCTTTAATGCACGAAGCTACTGGCTGAAACGAGTTTATCACTACTGAGTTCAGCGTGAAAGTGCATATTGGAAATAAAAACAAATTGTGCAGCAGATTTTTGTCCCAAATGCTGAAGAAAATGTATCTGATTCTGTCCAGTCTGAAATTAAAGAGTAAAAACAAAATCAAGGTCACTATAATGAAACCAGCAATCACACATTTCTCAGATTGTTAAGAGAAAAATGAAGTTTCTGAACTTCAATAACTTCCATATAAAAGGACACACAATTCTGACAGGATTCAGGAAATTATTGAAAGTCATAAAAGCAACGCCTTAAGCAGTCTGAGGGATCCAGTTAGAGCCTGGATATTTTCCTGAAATTGGGCTTCAGTTTCCCTCTGGGTTTTAACTGACAAAAAGCTCAAAAGGATCTTCTGGAGCCACTCCCCTCTGGATGAGATCAAGCACTTTGAGTACATGTTGTGATGAGACAGTCTTGGAAACTGAAGTGACTATCATGGAAGGACAAGGGTGTTACGTAGCATGTGTAATATATTAACACTTGTTAGTCAGACAGACAACAAAAGGTCATAGCTGTTTAAAAGCCTTAAATGCCATCATTAACTGACATCAGGATGGCTCATTGTGGCTTCTTTAAAGAAGCTTGATATATATATTTTTGAGCATTAGAAAAAATTGCAATTCTTAATCTGCCCCCATAACAGAAAGACAATTTCATATTAATTTTCTCTCCGAAAACAAAATAATTGCTTTTTTGTTATGACAGGGGATAATTTCAACATTTTCAATATAATATAATTCTGTTCTGGGATTCATAGTCTTAAAACTACAAAAACAATTAGCTGAAGTGACACAGAGGAGAAAATAATCTTAGAGTCCAGTGACTCCATACATCAGAAGAGGAAGGAGAAACCGTCAGTAGAATTATTTCTGAATGCATCAGTGCAGCCTATCTGTTATTCTCTTTGTAGCTAAGCCCTTTCTCTCATAGAGGCAAATGATGTTGGTTTGTGCAGGAGTGTTATACAAAGAGAAGCTCAGCCAAAGAGCCTCACGTTATACCTCTTTGAGTATGTTAACTGTAATACAGGTCTTTCTTCACCCAGCATTTTCAAGGGCAAAATTTATCAACTTTAAAACTGTGACATAGACATATTGTAACAGTATTAAGAATAAGCCCAGTTCACTAAAGCTGTGTTACCTTATGACTCTAAAATTCAGTTCTCTTCAGTGGGCCCAGGTGATTTCCCATATATCTGTGGGACAGGTGAGCTCCTCAGCTTGTATAAAGCTGCATAGTTCTATTAGCCTCAGTGGAGCTTTAGCACCCAAAGATCTGGCCCAAAATTTATCTGGAGAGAATGACAAACATAATACAGTTTTAGAGAATGACTTCCCACCTTTGCAACGATTGGCTTTGCAAAGACACACGAGCTTAGGAATCATGTGGGCTGGATCATGTCCCACTAAACCTGATTCGCAGGTTTATTTGACATGCCTGGCTTCTTATCTCACCCACAAGTGATGCTCCCAGTATTGTGCATGCAATATTTATTGCCTGTATCCCAAATCATTCAGGATTCTATTCTATGTTTTAGACAGCTTCACTTCCTGCTTTTTCCTCTTCCATTTTTAGAATTTACCAAGGCATATCCACATAATTGTATTCCCTGTCCATCTTTGGGTTTTATCACCCCAAATTAGCATCTCCACATCACCCACAGTAGGACCAGCTCTCCTTTGTTCTCTGCTAACCGTCATGCTTTTACATATCAATATCCTTGTCACCCTGAAGCTTCTCTATGTTGTGCTGGGAGTTGTTTCAGCCTCTGGCTGGCTCAGGATTAGGGGATCAGAAAAGAGGTTTAAAGCCACTTTCTCCCCATGCTTTACCTACCCCAAATGAGGACTGAGCCCTTATATCAATTTTATAAGCCACTCACTCAACATTAATTTTCTCTGCATCAAATAATGAATAACAATGAATCTAGCACAATGGTAGGGGGAGGTGTAAATTACACCTTCCGGAGCCAGTTAAGCTCTTTGTGCTCCTGGAGTGATTCACCTCCACACAGAATAAGTGATATTAATTCTGCCCTCACACATCACTATCCCTACCAGAGATGTGGCAGCTTTAATTTCCACCAGGCTTCCACAGAAGTTTAATCAGTGGGAGTCACTAAGGAGAAACTCTGAATAAGGGTGCTCTGTGGCTATCTAACTAGACCCTTTTCCCAGCGAGTGCCAGCCACTTTTTGGATTCCACTGGCCCTCCAGGGTATAAATGAGACTTTCCACCTCCGCATCCTTTTCCTCTGGCAGACTATCCCCCTACCCCTTCACCAGAGGCTATGCTGGGTTAAGTCCTGAATAAATCTAGCCCAACGTGTTGTATTATGTAATGCTTTTCACCCTGAAGGATCCCAAAGCACTTTCCAAACTGTGCACAGGAATCACATCATCTACCAGTGAAATGCAAGCACATCTGGGTGAAAGAGAGTAGCTGTTTAATAGTGGGCAGTAACACCAGGCAGCATTTTAGGGAGTGAAGAAAACAGTGCCATATACAACTGAGATTGCCTGGAGTATTCAAGCAGCTAGAATGTAATTGTCCTAGTCAGAATGTAAAGAGAACCCAAGGGGTTAACACTTGTGAAAAGTGACATGGAATTTTTAGTGACCTCATTAGATCAGAACCTCAGCTTTATGTCTTATCTGAAGATCGGCACTTCGACCAGACTAGCTCATGATAGTGCAGTGCTGATGCATTGGCCCAGTAGTACTGACTCAGACGGGGAGTGTCACCTTCTGAGTCACCACCAGCACTTCTTCCTACAGAACCTAGGGGATCATCATAGATGTTCCATCAAATTACTGACCTATTCTACCTTGTGGAATCTGATGAAATCACAGGACAAAGCTGCACACCACAGCATGTTTTTAACATGTATTTATACATACATTGTGAAACCAGTATAGGGATAACATGAATAACATAAGATTTTTCAAGTCATAACTTCAAGTGGGATCATAATGGCTGAAACCATTGGGATAGTCAAATATACTTACAGACAATCAAATTATCTTTGGATAACAGCATAATTAATGCTTTTCAGCACTGCGCTGTACATCCTGATAGCCGAATAAATAATATTGTGACTGAATAAAAAAGGATTAGAATTTCAAAGAGAAAAGATTTCATAAACAGGATGCTCTCATAAGAGAATCTGACTTTTTGTACTATTCTGGAGGAGTTCTGGGGAATATTAAACAATGAAAAATAAAAAAAAACAGGTTTTTTTTTGTGGCTCACAACTACATACAGTAACATCCTATAGTAAACAAAGCCTTTAGAACATTCATTTATTACATATTAACCTGCAAAGAATGTGTTTGTCAACATTAAATGGTTCATGTGGGGTTCTTTCTTTCTTTTACTATGAGTCATGCATTCAAAAATAGCATCTAAATTTGCAACCCCCCAAATCTGCAACTGTAAGCAGCATTAGCATGAGCAAATCAAGTAGCTAAGCAACTAGTGCTGTTTGTGCATTAAAAAAATTACAGGCACTTATTTAAAGGGAAGATTGAGGAAACTTTGAAATTTTGGGCCAAAGAATTATTCTACATTGCTGTTACTATCTCAGTGGAATATATGAAACACAACCCAAGGTGCCTTTAGGACTGTTCAAGATACATCAAAGGGCAATAAACCTCAGCAGAGCTAGACCTATCCCCAGCATGCATTGGTAAATATACACTCCTTACTTCCTTAATGTTAAATACCATACATTTAAAGAATTCATGCTAGTTTCATTGCTTTGGTCATTGAGAATAACCCATAGATTAAGCCTATTAGGTAAGGGTTAGCATCTATAACATCCTGCTAACATCTGCTTAGATGCCACAGTTTGCATCATATTTTCATTCGAGGATAATTTAACATGACTGGTGTCTGCATCTCTGTTACTGGATGTCTGAGAAATATTTCTTCTTGTCAGATTTCTTCATCAGTGCCCTTGCCAAGATGCTTTGCCATGTACTTTTTTAAGGGGTATCATGCAGACTGGGAAGTAAAGCAACGATTCATCATCATTTACATTTTATGAAACAAGGACACAGAAATGTTACATCAAAGACAATAAGCAATTAAAGGTGATGCTGTAATTCCTAAATTGGACTGTCTGAAACTTCACCTAAATGTCTTGCAGAAGCTCTGACATTAGCAGTATTTTAACAGCAAACATACAGCAATATTGTACTTAACTTTCTGAAGACTTATGCTTCCAGATCGTTTAAATTCTTTAAAAGCCTAACCGTAACCATTTTAACAATCCCAGCAAGGCTTAGTCTAAGAGTTAAATTAAAATTAGGGAAAATGAGATCATTTTTAATGAGCTAGTTACAACCCTGAATAATGCTGGTTGTTGGTTCTGCTTAATAAAACTGCCATCCAATGCAAAATAGATATTAAGTTAAATTATTTTTATCAACTCATGAATTCAATGCAGAGCTTTCCCACAAGCCTTAGAAATAACAAAGCTTTATTAACTTCTTCCTTTTCCAACTTCTCCAAAATATTTCAGCTTTTTAAAAGAACCCATAGTAAGGACTGATCCAAGCCCATTAAAGTTAATGGAGAGACTCACATTGACTTTAATAGGTTTTGGAGCTGGCTGTTACTAAATGGAGCAATATTGAAATACATTATGTATTACTTAATATCCCAACATTATTATTGTTAAATATGTATTTGTGGTCTCAGACTTCTGGAGCACAATTCACTGTCCTATGGAAGAGTACACATATCCAAGTTGAATATTTGATTTTGGGGTGTATTCACTACAAGATTCTGTTTTTCACATTATTTCACAGTTTACTGCTGTGGACATTTTCAACATTTATCTTTACTGATGGTCTAGTATAGATTCAAAATCTGGAGCAAGTTTTATAGACTGAAGATGGAGCACTTAGGGGATAGAGCACTGGACTGGGATTCAGAAGACCTAGGTTCAATTTCTGGTTCTGTCCCTGCTTTGCTGGGTGACCTTGGGCAAGTCACTTACCTCCCTGTGCCTCAGTTTACCCATCTGTAAAATGGGGATAATAACATTGACCTCCTTTGTAAAGAGCTTTAAGGTCTATGGATGAAAAGCACTATATAAAAGCTAGGTATTATTATCCCTATCCATATATGTTTTGGGTGCATTTCACCCCAGACATGGGGCCCTGTATGTTGTGGAGTGGGCGCTGCACCAACCTCTCAAAGGACAGTGTGGACAGCAGGTCAGGGATAGGAATAAGGAGGGTCCCAAGTTTCATGATTGTTTAAATATGGCCTCAGCAAGAGTAACCTGAAAGATTGCAGCCATTATTCAAAGCCATGGGATGGAGTAGTGATTGCTGTGGAGGGCTGTGCTGCAGTGCCATGCCCTGGCCCCAGTTTGAAGGGGGGTTGGACTTCACATCCCCAGTCCTCATGGACTTCACCGCTTACAGTTTCACTTGCTGGATCTGGCTTTAAGTCCTGTAACACTGGCTCTGTGGGGATGATATGAATTTTACCCTTAATTTCCAAGGTGAAAACAATGAGGAAAGGTTGCAGCATGTACACAAAAAAAATGAAAATTTTTCTGGGAGAAAAAAAATAGAACCAAAATTGACAAGAGATAAAGATGGCCTGAAAAGGAAATTTCTATCCCATGGGAAATTCTGAGTGTTCCACAGTTTGTTCCATTCCAACTCAAAATGAAACATTGACCTTGGAATTTTCTGCAGAAGGGACTATTCCCCTTCAGGAATTACCACCACCACTTTTCCTGTGTCCCTCACAGCTTCTCACTACCACTTTGTCCTGTGTCACACTCTGATGACAGGTAGAATGTGCATGAAAACGGGGGCCGGGGGGGGGGTGAGAGGAGAGAGACATAGGGATCACTGCTGCTTCCACCAACAAAACCTTTTTCGGTCAAAAAGGTTGTCAGAATTGGCACATTTCTGCAAACTGTTTGGATTTTGACAAAATAAACTTTTTGATGGAAAAGTGTCCGTACAAAAAGTTTCAACCAACTCTACCCAGCGGTAATCATTATACATAAAGTGATCAAATACCAGATTAGTCTATTTTATAGATTTCTGTAGCTGATTAAACAAGCAATAACAGCATATGAGGAGATGTGTCATTGTGCCAGGAGATCTTCATTCTTTATCTAATCTATCTATCTATAATTGATTTCCCCTCCAACCTCCCCCACAAAATAAGGGAGAAACAAAAAAGGAAAGGAAGGAAGGGAACAGGGAGGGAAAAGGAGAGCAACATCGTGGCTTCCATCTGGTAGGAATTAAATCAACT